ATCCGATTGACCCGTAACCCAAATAACCCTCAACCTGATTAACCCGAACCCAATTGATCCGCAACCCGATTAAACCCGTAACGCAAAATCGATTGGTCCGAATTCGGCTAACTCGTAACCCGTCCGATTGGCCCGAATAATTAATATATCATATAAAATTTCAAAATGAAGTTTATTTGTTGTAAGACTAAATAAAACTATTTTTTCATTTTATAAAGGAAAGTTCAAAAAATTATATTGAGTTGAAATTATGTATTTTTAATAAAAGAAAGAAGAGAAAGAAATAAAGGGAATTTTGATATTTTGGTTTATAGGAAGAGAAAAAGTGAGATATTTTGGTGTTTTCAACTTTTTTAGGGAAAAAAGAAGAGGGAAATTTGGTGCTTAAATTTTTGGGAAAAGAAAGAAGTGGGAGTTTTGGTGTTTTGGTTTATAGGAAGAGAGAGAAGTGAAAAATATTTGTGTTTTCAACTTTTTGGAGAAAAAAGAAGAGTTGAATTTGGTGTTTCAAGTTTTGGAAAAAGAAAGAAGGGAAAATTTTGGTGCTTTGGTTTATAGTAAGAGAAAGAAGAGGAAAATTTCGATGTTTTCAATTTTTTGAGAAAAAAATAAAAGAGAAATTTGGTGTTTCAAGTTTTGGTGCTTTTGATTTATAGGAAGAGAAAAGGGTTGGAAATTTTGATATTATTTATTTATGGAAAGAAAAATTAGGAATTGTTTTTGTATTTTCATTTTTTAAGAGAAAAAAGTGAGAAAGCTTATCACAATGTTTATATAGGATGGTTTACGAGTTTAATAAATTAGCAATTTCATTATCACAATGTTTATATTACATATGGTGATTTAGAAGTGTAACATTTAGTGACTAAAATATTGTCTATACACTATAACAAACCTTACAATAACTTTTAGGCATGATTAATTTGATATAGTAGATTTGAGAACATGTAAAAAGTTATCCTATCTCAAATGCATATTATTTTACATTTAGGTTGGAATTCGACCCACCACCGTTTCAGTTTCTTTAATATTAAGCGCGATTTCCATCTCTCATAAACTGTTGTTTATAATATTAGTGTCTTGTCTAGATTTTTCAAATGGATATAAATTATGATTATTGATTGACAACGACTTGCAAAAATTTTCCATGAACCTTGATTCATATATTTTTTTTGTTAAACAAAAAGTTTAGGACTTTGCTACGATGACATGCATGTCACCGTAACTTGCACTTTTAGGTCGACTTTATATAGGATTAGGTTGATCTAATATGCACTTTTAGGTCGACCTTATATAGGATTAGGTCGACCTAATATGCCATTTCAGTTTTGTGAGGTTCAACTCGCGGTTGACCATTTATAGCAAATGGTCGACCTCTTTGGGAAGCGATGTGGGTGGTTCTTTTGCTCGTACAGATTACGTTTTAAACCAACAGAATCAATCATAAATAATGATAACAAGGACTCATAACTTAATAACAACTAAACAAACTAACAAGAAATACAATAAAACACAAATCATAGTTGTTCACACATAACTAAAATCTAAAACCACATAATATCAATCCACAATTGTTTTTAACACTTAACAATAAATAACAATAAAAACACACAATCTAAATGGTCGAGTTCCTGCTCCTGTCCCCTCTCTCTCTCATCCACATTTTCTTCATTGGTGTTGCTAGCATTATGGTAGTCGGAAGTTATGGTGACATGCATGTATCTTCCACTGAAAGATCGAAACTCATCTCGCATCTCGTTCACGGTCACCTGCAACATGCTCATCTGGGTGGTCATTTGCCCCATGTAGTCGTACATGCCATTCATCTGAGTGGAAATTTGGCCCTGTCAAATTGTGAACACGTAAACAAGAGAACAACAGGATTTTAACGTGGTTCGGTTTCACAGTGTGTGAAACTTACATCCACAACAAACTAACTCCTTCTCATTACGTGACTGCTGCGGCCATTGGCCTTACAATCATATTTATACCCTGTGACATGTAACCTAGGGTAAGACTTGAGACACAAGGATTCCTATGACAACGTGAGCTAGGAATCGACGCATGCAAACCCATGCGGGCCGAAGGGACATCCGGTCGACCTGGTGTGACTTCGTTGGGCTCGACATCATCCTGGCCCAATACGCCCCACAAGCTCAATTGTGGAGGTCACGAACATTCAGCTTGGACAATAGAAACTGGAAACTATCCGCTCCCAATCCTTTAGTGGTGAAGAGGTCAGCGAGCTGTAAATGAAAGTGAATCTTGTGAGGCGCAACTTCTCGTGAAAGGACCCGTTCACGAACGAAATGGCAATCAATTTCCACATGCTTCATGCGTTCATGGAAAACAGGGTTGGCGGCGATGTGGATAGTAGCCTGATTATCGCAGAACAAAATCGTGGGCTCGGGTTGAGGAACGCCAAGCTCGCGTAGCAGCCATCGCAGCCAAATCACCTCACTGACAGTGCTACCCACAGAATGATACTCAGCTTCAGCTGACGAGCGAGCAACAACGCGTTGCTTCTTCGTGCGCCAGGAAATAAGAGCATCCCCAAGACGAATAAAGAAGCCGGTCGTAGACCTCCGAGTACTCTGACACCATGTCATAAACCAGTTGGTCCCAATAACTCGAGTTTTGGGAGAAGGTTATGCTGGATCTTATACAGGCCCATGTATGGTACTTAACCACTTCCTTACACTCCCCCTTAAACGAAAGCCAACTCATGGGCTTGAAGTTTGCACAGGCCCGCCATACCATGTGCTTGAAAGACAACGGTTAATATTGGGGGGGGGGGGGCGTGAGGACTTGAACAAGTGACCTCACGGACAAACCAGCTCTGATACCATGTCAAATTTTGAACGCGTAAACAAGAGAACAACGGTATTTTAACGTAGTTCAGTTTCACAGTGTGTGAAACTTACATCCACAACAAACTAACTCCTTCTCATTACGTGACTGCTGCGGCCATTGGCCTTACAATCATATTTATACCCTGTGACATGTAACCTAGGGTATGACTTGAGACACAAGGATTCCTATTACAACGTGAGCTAGGAATCGACAAATGCATACCCATGCGGCCCGAAGGGACATCCAGCCGACCTGGTGTGACTTCGTTGGGCTCAACATCATCCTGGCCCGATAGGCCCATGTAGTCGTACATGTCATCCATGCGCTTCCCAAGAGGTCGACCATTTTCTATGAAAGGTCAACTGCGTCGTTGAACCTCACAAAACTGAAACGACATATTAGGTCGACCTAATCCTATATAAAGTCGACCTAAAAGTGCAGATTAGATCGACCTAATCCTATATAAGGTCGACCTAAAAGTACAAGTTACGGTGACATGCATGTCACCATAGGCATACATTTATACTACACTGAGAATTAAGCTTGTAATTTATTATATATATAATTCATGTCTTTTTTGTTACTCAATTTTGCTTCCCGTTGCATTGCCGCCAAATTTTCTTTTTGCTTGATATATATTGCCCCCCAACTTCTTCATTCCCGCTCCAAATGGCCGTCCAATTTTCGTTTTGATTGATCTATATTACCGCCCAATTTTCATTTGGATTAACCTATTGCAGCCCAAAAATGTTGAGATAAGAAAAAGTGTTTTTCTTCTTTATTTTTAAAGTGGTGTTTTGTTTGGTTTGGTAATAGTGTCTATTGGTTGCAAATGTTGATATCGCCCTCACTATTATCTAGTGTACTTTACCAATTATGATTAATTAAATGACAAGTTTGCAAATCATACAAATTGATTCAACATTTTGACTAGTTTTTTTTAATTAAGTATATATATGAGGTAGAAATAAGTTGGTTAAAAATTGTGGAAAATATTTTAAATTAGTGTAATAAAATGTGTAAGTTGGTAGCGTGTAAGGAGTAAGTAACTCGATGCGCTGTCCCGAACAACCTGCAGCCCGATCCGTCTGCAACCCGCACGACCTGAAACCTGATTAACCCGCAAGCCGACTAACCCACAACTACATTGAATCCGAACCCGAATCGATGAACCCGCAACCCGACGAACCTGAAACTCGACTAACTCGCAACCCGATTGAACCCTCCCGAACCCACCCGATTGACACCTATACTTGCTAGTAAGAGATTGAAAATTAGTACAAAGGCTGCAAGCATAGATGACAAGTTTCTCGAGTGATTGTTCTCCCGTAGAATTGGAAAATATTCTGCATATTTATTTCTTGTATTTGACTTACTCTATAGATACTTTCATCTTTCCTTTAAATTCTAAGTTTGCTTGTTTTTTATCCTATCATTGTCTTGTGACCGGTTGCCTCAAGTGGTAGGTCAAGAGGTCGACCATTTTCTTGGAAATTGATCTACCACTTGGTGGAAGAGGTCGACCACTTGAAAGTGTGTCTTCAGGTCGACCCATTTCCGGAAGCAGTAGACCGGTTGGCTCAAGTGGTGGTCCACTTGGTGGAAGTTGTAGACCATTTGCTTTGATAGTGGTCGACCGTTCTCTTCAAGTTATGATGACTTGCAAGTCACCATAGGCATACCCATAATTTTATCCAAACCCAAATAGACTAAATGATTACGGGTAGGGCATGGGAGAAGTATATATATGGGTTTGGGAATTTGTAGATGAGTTTGGGTAGAGTATGACTACTGCTTTCATAATCTAAATGAGTATCGTTACCCATTAACTTGGTGTTTTAACTACACATATAAAAAATGGACCTATTTGTAAATTTAAAAAGTTTAGGCATCAAAATGTAATACATAAAAATGTTAGGTACTAAAATCTAATTTTCCATCAATATTTTGAAGACTCATAACAAAAAATCTCGATACTAAATCTAAAGACTTATTGAGTTTGAGTATCAAGCTGTAATTTGCATATGGGTATGGATACTAACCCAAATTCATGAATTAAAAAATTCAATCGAAATAAATGGATATAAAAATATATATGAAACTCATCAAACTCTACACATTTATAATGTATTTTGTTAATAAAATACCACTAGTATGGACAAAATTGTTATCCAAAGTCCAAACACGGCTACACCTCATGTGTTGAACCAATGGTTTGGTCTGAGATATAAAAAGGGCCTCACCCAATATCTCAACTCAGTACATTTACCGAAAACGCCAACACTGCTAGCTATCATCGGCCTAATCTTATAAACCAAACCATCCACCCAACAATCTGAGCCCCTAAGCACCGGCTTGTTACGCTGCCGCAATTCCTAGAATTTGGGGGCCCTAAAAACTTGAAAAGAAGACAATAATAGGTGGGAGAAAGAACAGTATGGGAAGGAAACAAGATAAAGACACAGCCAGCGGAAAGGGGCCAATTATTAGCTTCGACATCATTTCAGAATCTGCAATCATAGCTCCACTCGTGGATCATACTGCTCTACTCTCTATATTAAAAAAAAAGTCAATTTCCTTTCTTTCCCTTGGAACTGTAGCCCAGCTTGCAGAAATTGCATTTATGTCTATGTCCCCAGAAGCCTTCTCTCTTTCCTTTTTCCATCGAGCACCAAGAAAGGATTTTTTACTGCTACTGAGGGCATCTGAGGCAATAAGCCTAAAGAGTCACAGTTTGCCTCTCCATGAATAAAACAGCGTGGATTCGCGATTCCAGCAAACGGTTTCTCAGCCATACAACCGAGCGCCTCCATCTGAATCGAATGAGTGGCACGCGGTTCTGTCTGTGCACAGGCTAAGGAGCTTCTGCCCCTTAGCCAAGTTGCACACGAGACTGTTTAGAGATAAACATGGACATCCAAATTAACTCATTGCCAATCTACGCAACATGACTTTCACAGCACTTTGAAGTGAGTCCATCTGGTGAACCAAGTAGCTGGCAACACAGGGATAGGATCTATCCAACAAAGGTAACCGTATACACAATTGGGGTCAGTTTCAGAATTTGATTCGTTCAAACGAAAAAAGGGAAGAAGGATGAATAGGCCAAACAGCTAATAGAGGAAAGGCAGGCATTAAACCTGCCTACAGGAAGAAAAAGCAATGAAAAAGGAGATGATTCCTGTGAAAGATGCCTCCATGAGGCAAAGCACCAACTGGCCCTCTCCATCTCAAAGCATCTCTACTTTCCCCTATCAGACTCTGGATCTTTTTCACAAGTTCAAATCCCCCAAAGGGTACCAAAACAACTCAAAAAAGAATTCATCTTGGTTTTTAGCCTGAGATAAAAACAGTTACAGTTCAGAAAAGTAGTACAAACAAGCCTAGAAGTTATAGATGCATTTGAACTTTGAAGGACAAATGGGTAGTACGTGAATAAGGGGGTGAAAAATAATAGGATATTACTGAGTGACAAACTGATTGGTAAATAATAGCAAGCATCCTGACCTGATGGGTACGACTCTGACAAGTTATTAGTGGACAGGTTCTAAGGGCTCCACCCTCCTACCCTTGTGCAATGTTAGTGTTTAGGCCCATGTGTCTATTAATTGCAAACCTAAAAACAAACACTGCCACATTAATTTATGCTATGCTAGCGACCCATATTTCTTCACATCACACCAGCGGCAAAACTAATGGCCAATGGCTGGTGTGGCGGCTCCAAGAGCAGCATGAGGGACCATTCTGCAAAATTTCTACCTCTTTTCCCGTTTTCCTAACTAGGGAGCATTCAAGTTTTACTGGGCGGGAATGGAATATGAACATAGTGATATGGATTGAGATCAGAGTAGATGGCAGTGACACTGTAAGAGTTTGTTACAAGCAGACATTGATGGTGATGAGGAAGTGAGAAGATGGCCTACCTTGAATTTCGAAGGTGGTCCTCTGAATTCTGATGATCAGTAGGAAGGTCAACTCTACTGAAAGATTGGTGCTGGTGATGGCTGACCTTTTTTTTCCTTGAGAAAACTCGTTGCTGATGTAACTGCGTCGCTGCTGCTGAAAGGTACTCATCCTTGTCAAGATCGACTTGCTGGTGGAGAAATCGATCACGAGAGCTCACTCTGTAATTCTCAGCTTCCTGCATATGCTTACACAACTTTGTTTTTTGGTTCGAGAAAAAAACAACCCAGAATGAAGGTTAACTTGCTAAGCTATCTACCAATGACCCACTTTTTGCAAAGAAAAGAGTCGGATGATTTGACACAGAATGAGAAATGATATTCATCGTCGGTGATACAAATGACCATATAAGGTTTGCAAATGCTGCCATCATTTTGATCTTATTCTTCTATACTTTGTTTCCGGTTTCTAGCTGGCTATAACTGGGGCAGAGCAGGTCAGCCGGTTGGTCCAATCATCTGACTAAGATAAACGGTAGATGATAGCTTGGTGGTGATACTCTAGTGATCCCCAATGCTTAAACGACCTTCTTCACTTGGAAATAGCTGGGGCGATCCTTGTGCGCTGCATCTATGTGGCCTGCAGATGCCACAGCTACTGAAACTCCTTTATGTTTCACAGCATCGACTACATCTGCAAATTCCCTGAAGTTCTTCAAGCTGTGGACAGTGAAAGAGAAAGAAGAAGGGTTATGTATTGTAAATCGGAGTTATTTGGTTATCATAATGCTCTTCCATTTTGTATGGTGCTTACGGCAGCCTGTTGGTTATGACTAATGAGGGCAGCACTTGTCTTACTTGGAAAAATTACCATTTAGCAACAATCATATTGCAAGCATTGCCTAACAAATGCAAAGGCCGGTTATCTGGTTTATGATATAGGAGGCCGATGAATCCTTTACCTAGTTGTGAGTATCTCTTCGCGCCTCTGTTGCCTTTCTTCCTCAGTGAAACCTCGCAGGTATCTCAGCATGCTGAAACATTCGAGAATAGATTAAATGAATGAAGTTACCTACAAACTGGACTAAGTTAATACGGAGTTCAACAAAAAGCATCTAGATATCATTTTCCTGGGAGAAGAGAAACCACCATAAAAATCTCAAGGAAGCTTTTTCAGTTGGAAACTGGAAACAAAGATGATCAACCAACCTGTTATAACCTTTGGCATCTGGTAGCTGGTACGAGTCCACATCTCCAATGGTACCAATAATGGATTTTGTGAGAGTATCATTATCAAGTTCTAACTCACGTAGAAAATCCCCAGTTGCATCATACACATCTAGTGTGTTCAGCAAATTGGGGTCTCTCCAAGATACGAAGTAATAGACTCCTGAAACGTCAAACATCAAATAACATATTAAACCAAGCATGTATAAGAAGTTCAGACTATCTGCTCCCAATGCTTAGTGCAAAATAGCAAGGTGTTTTACCTGAGTAAGGATTAAATTGACTCATCCCTCCATATGCTCCGCCCATCAGACGAACCCGATCCCATAACCATGTATTAGAAATGTGGTTTGAGATAACATATACACTCCCATGAAGTTGATAACCAGCTTCATAGAGGTTAGCAGCTTTGCCAACATAATTGACCTGGAAAAAGCTTGCAGGTCTAAGTTTCTGGAGATGCAGGATACGAAAATAAGCATCTAATCAAAATATGCTTTCACCTGCGAAGGTATGACAATAGCTTCATTTCCAGGAGGAAGTCGAGCACTCCAAGAAGCAGTTGCCGCCGGTGAGCTGCTTGGAAGACAATCAAGGAACTTGCTAACATACTTCTCCGAGGTTGTGAGATTCTTCCCATCAGCAGTCAAATTTACCAAGCAGCCATCCTTCGATAACAAGGATGTGCGGATTTCCTCTAGTGAAGCAGAAATTCCATCCCAATCTTGATCAACTCTCTTTTCCAGATCTTGCAGGAACTCAAGATAACTATACGTAAAAAATCATAATGTCAGCATGTTTAGCAACGTAGAGAGCTTTTCTTAGGATTGGAGCTTCAAAATGTTTTGTTAGACTCTCAATTTGGTGTGTGTAACAACAGATTATAGGGTTTAGAGATTTCACTAGTGACACTTGAGGTAAATACTAGACCTGACACCACCCATTTGTTCTGAAATCCAACCGGCAGTAGTAAACTTCGCACCCAGCCTTGACGCAGCGATTGAATGACCACCACTGCTTAAGCTGCTCTGTAAATTATTGAAAAGCATTGCATTAAATTGTCAGCCGTAAATTTAACTGCATATATGATTTGTTATCAAGATTAGGATCCGTTAAGCACCTCCATTCCTGCTTTGCTCTGTGAAACAAATTGCTTGAATCGCAGCTGGTCTGTGAATTCTACTTCTTGAAGAACACATTTTACCTACAGTCAATAACAAATATCAATCTCAGTATCAAAACCAAACTGCTTTATCAGATTCAATGTGCAGGGCAAGGAATGGAATCACACAGAACCATCACTATTATGTTAATATGTTGTACACATGTGTAAAGAAAAGCTACCAGAAATCCAGAGGCCCTTGGTGATACAAATTTATATAGGGAAGCACCCACAACCATGTCAAGAACCAGTTGCTTCCAATAACTCGAGTTGTTGGGAGAGGTTCAATTGTGGATCATATACCATACACTAACACGCCCCCTCAAACGAAAGCCACTCACAAGAGCTTGAAGTTTGCACAGGTCCACATACCATGTGCTTAACAAATGGGGTTACCAGGATTCGTTTACAAGACCTCTCGATCACATAAGGCTCTGATACCATGTCATGAACCCGTTGCTCCCAATAACTCGAGTTGTTGGGAGAGGTTCAATCGTGGATCATATACCATACACTAACAAACCAAAGATTACGAGACTTGATTATTATAGAAGTACATTGAGATTTATCATCTGAGTATTAACATTTGGAACCAGCTTGTTTTCTTCTAATTATTTGGAAGGAGTGAGATACTAGAGACACATAAAAACTAACAATCATGCACAGAATGCACTGCCCGGCAACTGGAGGCCAGGGGGACAGGAATGCAAACAGATAAGCAAGCTCACTTGATCGTCAACTTACCCAGGAAATTTTCCCTGGCAAATGAGTCAAGTTGACAAACACAGCACCTTATGAGTTCATATCCAAAATAAAAGCAATGCATATGCTGAATGTACAATCATCATAATAATTAGTGATAGTGATATCTAAGCACTCTTGATATTCTCAATTGATTGTCATAGTTTACTTATAAAAGCGGCTGGTGAAAACCCCAGTTTGAGAATACCAGGTTAAATAAGTCTTCAGCACGCCCTGTCATGGCCTTCCCTCGAACGATAATATGACTACATAGATCTGTTGAGCCTCGGACAGAGGATGTGAAGGGATAAATAGATATACCCCCGGTTTTCCTTCCAATCAGCTGATTAAGTTGCACAAAACTCATATCCTTTGTACCCATCTCAAGCAGTGATTGGCTGTTAAAAGCACAAACTGCAGTTAGAACAAGAGTCAAGGCTTCTTCTATTCATAAATTCTCATTTCCTTAATAAAGAACAAAAGAATCAAGGCTGAAATGGAAGTTAATATGGGATTCAGGAGACATTTTAGAAACAAACAGCTCCCACAAGAGATATAGAAGAGGGTAAAAATTATCTTTCAGAAAAAAGGGAAAGATTCAGACCAAGGACATTCAGGCATATGACCACCTTCCCTTCTCTATAAGGACAAATGATATTCAGGTTCACATGTTGGTTGAATACTAGCAAGACACCCAAGTGGTATCTATGTCAATTAAGTACAAGTATACTATGACAACACGAAACTGCAGTGTGAATGAAAACTTATATTTCACCATACAAGAACAATACAACAGCTGGCGGTAAGTGAAGGGCATAACACATAAAAAGATTCATCAACCTTTACTTAACAACCAGGTTCCTTTACCATTGAACATGTATCAAGTGCTACAGAAACTACACAATAGAACCTTAGGTGTCTGATCATTGTGAGATTTTATATTTCAGGGAAGATCTGGAAGAGTTTTAGTGAAACTATATAATTAAGAAATCTTGAAGTAAAGAAAAGGAGCAGCAATAATCTAAGTTTAGATTCAGAAAATTAAGTTTCAAACTACTAATTAAAAGTTAAAACCAACAATATGTGGTTGGTCAGTGGAGAAAAAGAGAGCATACCATGTGTTTAGTTCCACGAATAAGTTCGATGTGGAGTAAAATGATATAGAAGACAAGAAAATGGCCATAAAATCTCAAATGCTGATGTCTTACCAGAAAAGTGGTACCAAAGGAAGAAGCTCCTGCTTCAGTGATCTCATATCAAATACTACCTCCGCATAAAGGACATCATTTGTAAACAGGTCATGCTGCAATACTTTTGCTCCATTAATCTCCCCAACCTAAACGTATTAAGATTATCCGTATAAGAAAACTTCCAGTCCCAAAATGGAAAACAAGAGTATGCACAACAATATATGCTGTAATCCAACCTCAATTGGAGTGGGAGTGGTTCGTTTGGGAATATCATCTAGATGAAGGCATGGAATAGTTTTTAAGACTTCCGGGGGGTCTGGAGTTTCCTGCTTCAGTTTTAACTCCTGTGTTGCACGGGTTAGCTCGGCAAGATCTTCTTCTGTCATACTTGCTTTCAACTTCTCCAGTGTTTCTCTCTCTAAGGAATCATCACGAGAAGCTTTCTCTGTATCAGGCTGAAACAGTAGACTTGTTATATCTTCATAATATCAAGAAAATACCAAACTAAATCAAGTGTAGAAATATAAAACTCACCTGCATTTCCACAATGGCGCGATGATGATTGTTCAGGATAAACTTCTCAATTAAAGGAGAGAAAACAGCTTTAGAGCCTTCCTTGGCTATTCTAGCTTTCAGTGCCATCAATGGTTTCTCATATTTTAAAGGCCCAAAGGGATCCAAACCATAAATCCATTTTCCCTGTATAATTTGACAAGTAGACTTAGCATATCTATAGGGTATGAAGACGTTTGGTATAAAGAAACCCAGAGTTCTGAATCCGCATACCATGGATTGGAACATCAGTGCTAAGCCACGAGGAAATGATCCAGTGTTGTTTTCTCGGAGATGAAACTCTATCGTGTTCATGGATGCCTCCAGAGCTTCTGTCTCAAAACCTTCTTCACTTAATTTTTTAAGTGTACTCAAAATTAAATCTTCTACTTTCTGAATATCATCTTCGGAAACTCCTTTCAACCCAATACTGAATTGAGGTTGAAGTAGGTCATCCTCTATACCACCACCAACAATGTCATCTCCCAAACCACTGTCAAGCAATATCTTCATCAATGGAGAAGCAGGAGTTCCCAACAAAAGTTGATCCAAAAATCCAAGTGCAAGCTCAGTCTCCAAGTCCAGTGTCTTATCAGAAAGCAACCAGTTAAGGCACACCATATGCTTCTTTTTCAAATCACCACCATCACCAGCTGGATACTTATGCACTACCCTTACTGGCTCTGAGAAAAGTCTCTGAGGCTCAATTGTCGATTCACTTGGAGATGAGCTCGACCCAAACATCTCTAGATATTCTGCACGTGTGAAGGGAGAGCACATCACAAGAGTTATAGGAAAATTGAAAACTGTCTTGAATAGTCTTGAATTCAAGCGATATGCCGAGCATTTCAAATACCATAAAATTAGGGTCACCAACCTCAGAAGCTAAAAGTCTCATCACAACTCACAATAGAGAGTTCAAGCTTCAAAAGGAAACGAGAGGTAAAAGGAAATGAAGCCTTTCGCCAGCACTATTAACTTAATTATTCATTGCTTCAGCCAGAAATGAGATTCAAAAGTCAGGAGGTTCATTTAGATACTACATTCACATCATCTTTGCACAAAAATAGTATCTCTTTCTCATGTATCAGTTTATATGACTTTCTCAAAACAACACCTACAATGAAGAGCTTGGACAGCATGAATTAACCGAACTTTATATAATCTGTAACAAGAAGTCAATAAATACCACTCAGGATTCGCAGTCGCTCAGATGGATCGTCATCTCCATAAAACCATATCCTTGCATTGCTAGGGTGGTAATATTTACGATGAAACTCCTGCAATTTGTTGATTGAAAGATCAGAGCTATTTCACTATGATTTGTCATGCAGCAGTGCGTATAATTCCAAGAGCTCTCAACTAATATTTGAATGCATTAAATCTTTTCTAAACTGACGCTGTAAAGATTCTTTATATAAAAAAAAAAGGTCAACAAATTGCTCCTATACATTCCCGAAGAAAATTATTGTAAACCTTGTGGGTTTTCAATAACCAACACTGGAAAATTGCACCGACATTGCACCCAGTAGCAGTAACCAGGAACTCTGTCAACAGACCTTGAATTCTTCAAATGTCAGTTTGGGAATAACTGTGGGGTCCCCTCCACTGTCAACTCCATAGGTATTGTCGGGAAACACAGCCTGAACAGAAAGAAAAAAGGTACTTTTTAATAGAACATCCCAAATGTTGGTTAGTGAACTATGGACTCAGGATGACCTTGGCCCAGTCGCATACTCCAATGGAAATATACAAGTAACTACCAGTACTTGTGATCATAAGTATGACTATAGGAGAATGTTAAATGGAGTAGTGTTTAGTCACTGTTTTGCTCAAAGTTATTCAAGAACGTGAAACATATAGCCCAGGATCATAACATTACACGTCAGAAATGATGATATCGTTTCAGGTGAGTGGTTGAACAGGGAGAGTGAGGCAGTGAGAAGATTGTGAATATCACAAACTTAAAGAAATAGAGGACTTACACGTCGAACAGCCCGGCCCAGAACATTTTCTGGCTGGGAGTAGACGCCTTTCATCTCGTTAAAGACAACACCTGAGGATGATTCAGGTACATACATGTAAGACAAATCGCCTTTGGTAGGATGAAATGGTGGCTAGTTAATTTTTTTCTGAAAAATAACCTTTATAAGTGATATCTTTGGAAGGATCATCCAGCTCATAATGCCAGCCCTCCTGCTGAAAGATTAGTTCATCCTCCACACATTTAGGGAAGAAGACAGCATCCAGATATACATCAACTAGATTGTAGAAATCCTGTTTTCACATCGAGATAGAGGGAAAATTAGTGAGCAAAATAGGGAAAAGGATGGACAAACAAATTCCGAATTCACCCTAAGATGTACCTACCTTTGTATTTGTGGAAGCAATCGGGTAGCAGGTTCTATCAGGAAAGGTAATTGCATTAAGATATGTATTCAAACTTCCTTTAATTAACTCCGCAAACGGCTCTTTCAAAGGATATTTTCTTGACCCACATAGTACGCTATGTTCCAGTATGTGTGGAATCCCAGTTGAATCCTTCCTGCATTACAGAATTAGTAGTTGAGAACTGCAGAAAAGGTCCTCTGTGCAACTGAACTTCAATACTCCCAAGAATTATCATCAGCAAACCATTCTTCTATACATTATAAATCAGCATGTTCTAGTTCATTGAACTTTAGCAGCTATCTCTGTTATACTTATACAATACGGGAAGTTAGTACACTTACGGAGGTGTACGAAGCACAATGCCAAAGACCTTATTCTCATCATCATTTGACACTGACATAACTTCACAACCAGTCTTCTTATGCTTGAAGAGCACAGCCTTCGATTTACACTCTTCAATGAACTGTTCCGAAACCTTCTCAAATCCCAGCTTCTCGGCAACCTCATCAGAAACTCCAACATCTACAGCAGCCAAAAAACAACAACAATAACTCTAGTTTAACTACAATCAAAGCGCACAGCAAAGTCGGCCGAAACGTTACACTACGCTGAAATGCGCAGGCACACCTGAAGTTCTAATTCGAACAGCTTAACTCTAAACGTACTGTTATCAAATTGAGAATAGGACGAATCAAATAATCTACTGCTAAGTTCAGAGACCGACCCGAACAAGAGACTAAACTATAATTTCATGTTAATGATAACTTACGATAAAAATCCATCTAGCAACAGAGAGAGAGGAGCGGGGAGTACCTGACGAGAACTGAGGAGCTGGTTGTGTTGCTACGGCACGAGCGGAGAGAGTGGAGAAATGTTTATCGGAGTGAAGTGGAGAAGACGACGGCGACGAGGAAGAAGCAACGACGCGGAGCAATCTGGAGTGACGGCGGTGGAGGGAGCGGCGGCTGAGGCCGGGGATTGGGCGGCGGAGTAGGCGGGAGCTGGTAGAAGAAGCGGAAGATAAGGAGGAAGCAGAGCGGGAGGAGAAGGGAGCGGGAAGACGAAGAGGAAAAGACCTGCCCGGAAAATAGAAGAATCGGTTGGAAGCTAGAGAGGAACAGCGAAGAAGAGCAGCCCTCTCCATTGTTGTCTTTGACGCGGAGGGGGAGCGCTCTGCGGAAGGGCTATAATGGTCGGGTTTTGGTTTGGAGATGGACACGGGGAGCAGAAAATGGGGGAAAATCAGCTTGGTTTAATTGCTTTTCGATATAAATTAAGCAGAAAAGACATAATTGTGAGTGGGTGAGTGAGGGCGTGGTCCGTGGAGAAGACGTCATACGTGGAAGGCTCAACCGTTATGAAATTTAATGGTCAGATTCTCTCTTTAGACTAACTTGTAACGAACGAGGGCAGTGGTAGCGGTAGTCGCGTAGCCAAAAATTTATTTAAGGTGGGTCAAACGTAAAATTATATATATGGTGGCTTTTACAATATTAGGATAAAATTTGGAATATCGTGTACCTTGAGTATAAAAACGCTATTCAGACCTCGAATTAGCATGACTTTTGGGCCTGATACTATACACTAACCCTTAATGAGTGAACTCTAGGTCCTAAATATCTAAATCATAAACTATAAATCCTAAGATAGTGCCTTCATTTTTTGCCTATATTTGGACGAATGACGAATCATAACAGTCGATTGTTGTTTCTAATTAAATTGATCTTGGAGTATAAGATTTAGAGAATTAAAACTTAGGTTTTGATCTTTTAAGTGTTCGAGTATAGTACCATGTCCACAAGATCAGTCAATTCAAGGTCCGAATATATATATATAACGTATGTTTCAGGATGTGCTCATGTTTTGGAAAAATTTCTAAAATACATTCATCATGTAAAATTATGAGGATGTGCTCATGTTTTGGAAAAATCATATGCAAAATGGAGGGCTAAAAAGCTAAAACAAAAAATTAGGGTCTGAAATAGTATTTTGCGGTGGAAACTTTCCCGATGTTGATTTGTTCGATGCACCTTTGACTTCCGAAAATCAAGACAAAAGTTACTACTATTCTCACATCTCCGAACAATGTTCGAACGAGGGTGTTTAAGTTTTTGGGGAATCTACATTAACAACTACTCCTATGGAGATTCCTGTGGAGAGCTCCGCGACTACGCTACGATTACGACTATGGAGATTCTTTCTAGAAGGAGACATCCGCGAAGGAGTTACAAAGAAAAGGAAATTTTCACAAAGTTTTTCTATGTTTGATTTTGGTCGTCCTTTCTCTCGCATTGCTCTGGTGATTTTATCTAAATCGCTTCCGTAGTCTTCATGCTAACTCATATTCTTCACAATTACTTCATCGTTGTCAAGCGACCTTGCACCTGCCGCCCACGTGTTATATCCTTCTTCGCGAAGTTGTGGTCTTCAACCACTTTGATCTCCTCTTTCTACTTCACCTAAATTTTATGTGCAATAAAATGACTCTTTTATTTTCATGAACCCTCGACGTTGTTCACACCTCCATGGCTCCACCAACACAATTTCCATAACGACGCCGTTGTTACCACGTTTTTTCAATCATTGCAACGTCAATTCTATTGGTAAAATAACATTGTCGATCATAAGGTCGTTGAGCTCTCGACTTTCTTGAACTTACGGCATCGTTGGAATTGACATCATTGAATCAAATCACGACATTGCTTAGCTTGTGATGCCGCCAACCTCACAGAATCGTTGAATTCGCTATGTCGTTTATCTCACAATACTGATATAGCTTACCACAACATCGCCAAACTTGCGACGTCTTATGATTATGTATTTTTTTTGGAGTGAAAGTTTATGATTATGTATATAAGATGATAAATATTTACTTTTTTTTATGGAAAAATGGAAACTATTTATTTGAAATGTGAAGATACCTAGCCAAACATTCCATGTATGATTGTTGAAAATTCTAGCTAGGGTGAAAAAAGAAAAACTCTAAAGAGAAGCAAAAGGAATACAAACTAGAACTCGTTTAAAATTTCACGCCTTCAAATTTCATAGTAGAAATGACGTCTTTCTAATAAGTAATAACCATATAACTTTATTTTTAATTGGACTCGACATTGAGCTGAAAAAGTTAGTGGTTCATGGTTCAATTATAAATTTTCTAGACTGTTGGTGAGTCATGTATGAACCGTTCATACTTGTGCTTAGAATACATAAAAAAATAGTATACTAATTAGGGTTAGACGAAGAAGGTAAATAAAGAAATAAAGAAAGAGTTATGGAAGGCGAATGAAAAATGAAACGAATAGAAAGTAAATGATGGAAAGATTTGGTCATTTTTATACTTATATTAACTTTTAAATTATTATTTTTATTACTGCTGCTTTTTTTAAACATTGCTCTATTAAAATGTCATACAGAAACTTCATACAAATCAATATCTTAATGTACTCTTATTATATTTTACTAAATATGTTGTCACGTCACTGAATATAATGTTCTTTTAAAAAATGGTAATTATTATTTCAAATGGATGACATACATATTTTTTTGAAGTAAAATTCTCATGGAAGACCAAAATGGTCGAATCTTCCCCTACAGTTGAGTGACAACATCTTGCATGGTAAAAACTAAATTTATACTGTTATGTTATGATGGATTGGATTCATGGATCCAAGTGAAATATAAATATTCAACCAATATGTAAATTTAAAAAATTGTAGGTACGAAAACTCATAAAATTAAGATACCAAAACATAATTGTTCAATGATTTTACATTAAAATTAAATTCGGGGTATCAAAATGTAAATGTAAATTATAGTGACTAAGTTATAATTTAATTAAATTCGGGATATCAAAATATAATTTTTTTTATGCAACAGTAAACCAACTTCACGTTTATATATATTTAATATTCTCATTAGTCATAAAATTACTCATTATCTAAAGAATGATCTTCATGGAAACACCTTTTGGATGAGACTTAGGGGTCGTTTGGAGAACAAGATTCAGGACGTGGATTCACTGAATCCGTAGATTTTGTAAAAAGTTATGTTTTTTTGTTGCTTTTTGTATTGTGGATTTTAGTTTTAGAGATTTCAAATCTCTAAAATCTGCATATATCAAATCTCTCATAATCAGAGAGATTCTATATCTTGATTCGTGAGATTTTTTTCTCCTAGTTTTTCTTTTACTTTTATTTATTTATCACATTAAATATATTTATCAACAAAAATTTTAATATTTCTTGAACCACTATAATTTTTTTTATTAAGGATAAACATGTTATTTAATATTACATTAATTTTTTATTTTTATTGAATGTTAACAATCATAGTTACCAAACACTAAACATTTTAAAATCGGTTTTCAACAATCCAAAGAGTTAGAATCTTTAGATTGTTGACAATCGGGAGATTTAAACTCATTTTCTCCAAACGACCTCTTAAATTGGACATGGAGTAGGCTTATAATTGCGAGTCAGATCATATGCTTAAGCCTATAAGGTTAAGCAATTGTTTAAACAATTCCCATTGGTTGATATGATGAAGTTAGTTAAGCGGGTTAGTGGTTAATAGGTTGTTAAGGGTAAATGGGATACTATGAAAAAATTATTAATATAATGTATATTAATCGTTAATAGGAATCCCCCACTCAGTCGCCCATATAATGTAAATTCAGAATAAATTTAATGAAATCATAAATTAATATTTAACTGAAAGAATACAGAAAATAAATAAGACGAGAATTTAGGTTGCTTCCCCAAAGATCCGGACTAGTCCCCAAAGAGGTAAGACTCTCATATAGGTTTCACTATGTTTGCAGTTTAGAGTTCTGCACGATGCTGTACAAAGGTCGGCCAACCCTCCTGATATCCTAGACAACTCAAGTAGGTATAAGTGGCAAGTTACAAAATGATACACACAAAAACTCGATAAGTATAAAACTCTCCATCTCCACATGGTTATTACGCTCATGAAAGACTAGGTTGGTGGCAAAGTATAACGCCGCCTGATTGTAACAATAGAGCATGGTAGGTCCATGTTGAGGCACCTACAGTTCAAGAAGCAAAATCCGGAGCCACAAGACCTCACTAATCGCGCTAGCCATGACATAATATTGATGACACTATATTTATAGTGTTTATCACTCTCATATTTGATATATTTTCCCCTTCTATCAATGCATCTTTAGTGGTTTTGATTACATTTCATATGAAATTCATAACTATTTGATTTATGAGCTTAGGTTAGACCTTAAGTGTGTTATTGTACTATTGATATTTTTGGTGCTTTTCAAGGAGATAAGGCACTCAAGACTTATATGGATCACCAAGGGACCCAATGGATAAGAAAGAGGTCGAGAACACAAGCTCATGGTCCAAACAAAGATGGATTCTGACACCGTAAGCTCACGATATGTACTAATGTACCAGATGATAATATTTTGAAGAGAAGACAGGTCAAACGAAGTCCAAATGAGCTGAAACTTTAAGAGTACACCCATGAGCACAAGAGGACTTGCCCACAAAAATGGGTTGATATGGAGAAGAATAGCCAGTGGTGGGTCCAATCGCCATAGGCAATGTAGTCAAAATCGCGTTTTAAAACTTAAAAACTTACGATTTTACGTTTATAGGTCACTAAAACGCTTCTACACAAAATCTCAGTTTTTATAGCTTATGTAGTTAAAACCTCCGCTTTAAAACTTAAAAACTTACGATTTTACGTTTCTAGATCACCAAAATGTTTCTACGTAGAAACTCGCTTTTGACTAAATTGGCCATAGGGCAACCACTCAATACCTAGCATTCCATAAGCTTCTAGAACTAGCCTACTTCGTCCATATCAAAGGAATCACAATTTGAGTCATACAAGGAAGGTTTTGATCGACTTTAGGAGGAAAAGACTAGAAACCCCCCTTATATAACTACTATAAATAGGAGGCTAGGCTATAGCTTTTCACACCCCTTTTTACCAGCACTCTGCCCTAGGTGCACGAGTTATAAATCCATAGAGGAAGCAAAGCCCTATTGGAGCTCGATGAAGAGTTGTCACCATTGATGCCTGTATCATTGGTGATGTCTTCCTATTATCCTATGCTAATAGATAGCTCAAATTGTTTAGGGATGTGACTCTATGATGATTCATGTATTACTTTCGAGGATTCAATTAAAATTCCTTTTGTGTTCAATGCTTTTGTCATCAATGCTCCAGTTAATTTATGCTTGTATCCTCCATTGCTTGAGATTA